CGTTGCAGCGCGTCGCACGCGTCATCGCGAAGTCTGAACGCTGCTTCCGGCGTCATTTCTTCACATTCGAGTGACAAAAGCGGTTCACTCCTATTCCGTTTTACAGCAACAACGCTCATCAAGGAACGGTACGATTCCAGTTCAATTTTTTTAGACAAAGCACTTTTTGTTGAGCAAATGTGAGACAAACCTGCAGAATTCAGTGAGAGCTCTAACGGAGACTTGTTCTCCTTTGCTGTTTGCCATGGGATGAGTAGCATCGTATTCACAGTACGACCCACCGCCTAGAGAACTCGTCCGGTTAGAGACCACCTTAACGAGTGAAGCTCAGGCTAACATGATATTCAATACGGCAAAGTGTATTACATTACCGAGGTAACGGCAGTGTGACAGCCGCGAACAACCAGCATAACACTTCCTCCTTGACCTGAAACGAAGGCAACCATTTGGAGAAATCCTCACAGAAAACCCTCTCAACCCGTCGCAAAGGAGGTGGCTGCTCAGTGTTTACGTTTTTCAGCAAAATTGCTGTTGCAGCCAGTTCATGTGAGGATCCCGGCGATGAAATACGGCTGTTCGTCGCGAATTCCTCTTGGTCCTGCTCACAGAACGCGATAATGGTCTTGAAAGCACCCAGACAGAAACCTGCTTCCAAGACTTGTACGAGGAGCTGTTCTGCAGGCAGGATGAACTGATGTCAACATTTCGCCTAGCATGACCAACGTTTGGACCATCATCTATAAGTAAGTGGGACCAGGCCAAATCTGCAGCGCCATCAATAATCACATTCTCTCGGATGCAAAGGGTGGGATACTACGTATTATCCTGACTTAGTAAAACTCGTGAAGTCATTCAGCCAGAGAGATATGAGACGAACTATTATTCCGGCTACAGAAATCATCGAAATCATGGAGATAATGGTGAACTGTAAGCACTCAAAACCCCTCCCTACTGCTCTCACGTAATAGATTTTAGAAATGGCTAAATCATCTTCACATAGTCGTCATTCAAAAGTGGTGCATTGAGGGCTTCGTTCTGAGGTGGTTGTGGACAGATATGAACCTGAGATACCTTGCGCTAGAGCTGGAGCATACCGTATACCTTATACAGATACGTCATTCCTACTCACGGGCTACCGCGGAACGAGTGTTTGATTGGAGTTTTCCAAATTTGGGCAAACATGATGAGTAAGTGTTTTGCTTTCCTTGATGTTTTGCCAAAACTCACTTCTCTTGTACGTCAACACTAGTCTGAATCACAACCCTTGATTCAAAAAAATCAAGAATGGAAAAAATAAGGGAGGTTCAGCGAATATCCCTCCTACTCACTATGCAACCGGGCTAGATTTCATAGCAGTCAAGGACACGATATTGAGATTTTGGAAATGTGTCAACTTTTTCTTTTTCGTGTCATCCGTATGAACCGAGGGTTAAATTTCTCTTCCTAAACAGGGGACATAGTAGCGGCAGCCGGCAGCGTAGCAGGTTTTTCCAGATCTTCATCTACCATATAACTAACTTGGTGGAATATCGGGGTCCTCGAACATGTAAGTGAAGCATCCACCGGCACAACTTTCCGTCTGCAGTTTACCAGGGTTCTGAGCCGAACAATCCGTGAAGTAGCTGTCTTGCATTCGAGGTAGACCGGTGATTTGCCATCGTGACGACAAACTCTCAGAAGCACACTGTAACGAACTTGTCTAATTATCGAGCACTGCAGAGACTACTTTTCACTTAACTTACTACGTAGCATGACTGTGACTCCTGATGGGAAATATGGAAGAGAGCTGTCAGTAAGAAGACGAGACGACACATTGGCATTGAGTACACAGGCGCGAGCCAAGTGATGACGGACGGATTCGTGACGAGTCGACGGCTTATAAAGGTGGTGTCATCTGACTGAGATCACAATGATTCACTTCGAGTGCAAGGTACGAGCGTCGACGACTTGTGACTGACTCTCGAAATTCGCGACTGTATCCCGATGAGGTGGGAAATGGAATGAGAGGAATGGGTAAATCAGGGGATTGAGTTAGGGGAGGGGGAGGGGGAGGTCCGCATAAGACAGGGAGTGCATTTTGTAACGCCATTTCATTGCGCATCTTACAAAGAACTGGCATCCTAAGCAGACAGACAAACCGTTCGAGAATATTTCACTCGTGTTCTGGAGTACTGGACAGTGGCACGTCAATAATCTGGGGAGTTCCCAGCATAGGAGGAGTGTACAACGCATGGAGGGGAGAGGGGGTGTATTCGCTTCGATCTGCTGAACTTTTCTCCTAACTTCATAGTGCCTCCGCGCTTGGACGAAGTTGCTGAAGAGAAAAGTGAAAATTTTGGATAACTTTCGAAGAAAAAAAAAACAAAAAAAACTGAAAGAAAACCTGTGCGTATTGGCGAAACTTCAAAGAGGAACAATGGGGATAAGGAGAGGAGAGGAGCTAAGTTCCAGGAGGTCGTATTTAGCGAAAATTTTCCCCCCACCGGCAACGTGTGCTTTGATGCCAAAATCGAGAGAGCAGAACGTTGATGGCTTCACTTCCCGTGGTGCCTAAATTTTGCATTTCTTGATTTCCTATTCTCCTGTGTTCATACAGGGGAGGGGGCCCAAAAAAAGTCACTTCGACCGAGGTTTTCGCAGCTCAGACAGAAGACGTGGATACGAGTACCAGGGCGGAAGATACCCAAGATGTTCCTCGATAAGCAGAAGCTGGCTTCACCTTCATGTACACCAAAATATGAAGTCATCTCCAGTCGCAGCCTGACTGGAGAAGACCTTTGGAATTCATGTCACCTCCAAACAGCTGCGAAACTTCTAGTATGGAGTCACCCATGGATAGCTACCTGGAGACCAGTAGGAAGACCTCCAACATCGAGCAGCTCCGACAACGTCGCTACGGTCTAGGACATCATCTTCACCGCAGTCGCCAAGGCGCGGGTGATGGTATGGACCGACGTACCTGGAATGGAAAGACCGATATTTTCTTCGTGGACCCCGGACTGAAGGTGAGCGCTGGCGGTTACATCGAGCAACTCGAGAAGAATATCCTCCCTACATGTCGTCGCCCGTACCTTCTTGGAAACTTTGTACTGCTACAGGTTTGGGTGCCACCACATGGAATTGAAGGGCGTTGGAAAAACTCTCGCCTACTTGGAATGGAAGGACGTTGAGTACCTGAAGAAGATGGAATATCTAAGTAGGTCACCTGACCTAAACCCCCCCCCTCAATCACAAGTTCGGGCGGAGCTCAACAGGGTGGTCTACAGTGAAATCAACGATCTCGCTGAACTCAGGCACCGACTCACGGTCGCGTGGCAGAATCTCTCGATGGCGCTCCTCCAGAAGGCTGTGGCGGTATCATGATAGTATTTAATATGCTGTTGGAATATGGTGGCAGCTGGGAGCAAGCAGTGTTGGATATGGTGGCTAAGCGGCTACAGTTGGTACCACCGCAATCCTTCGAGGCAGTTTTAATCGGAATGAAATGAGCCCACCCGTGGCGTTTGCACCACTGCTTGTTCCCTTCCTAACTAGATCACTGACCTTTCTATTGGTAACCTCTGGTAGAGCAGGACAGCCGAAGACAAGCTTATTCCGCCCTCCTGACCCTGCCCCGATTGATTGCGACTTTATCAACTATAATGTAGTTCGCTGCGGACGGTTGGGCGTGTCAGGCGGGATGAGTTTGGCGCGGTGCCAAACCCGTTCTCCACCAGTTGTTAAAGCGAGCAAATGATATGACTGTATCATATCGTTCGTATTACTCGTTTCTACCACTTTTTGTCGCATGCGCGCTTCAACAAGAAGGCAGAGAACGGCTTTGACGGGTGACACACTCATACTGCCTGACACGCCCAACCGTCCGCAGCGAACTAGTGTGTAAACTTCCCGCTTATCGTATCTTAACACGTTGACGACAATCGCATCGCGTTTGGCAGGAAAGCGCCGCGTGGGACAGCGTCGTTTTTTCGCATGCGTCCGCTATGAGCCACCGGTGGCTCATATTGTCCCTCGTGGACCACTTTTTTGCCGCTATGTCAAATTTCGCGAAATGGCTAGGCAGTCTTGCAGGGGTGCTACTCCTAACCATCCTTGACCACACTGGGCACCATATCAAGCCCGCCTCCTATGATCATGCTCACTTTTCAACGCGATCGTGATTTTTCGCATTTCACACTATAACATCCGTATATGGCTTA